GGCAGCACGCAGACTGCGGAGGTGCTATGGTGAGTAAACTGCCCAACGTCACCTCGCCCAAAGGGGCTTTCGTGGAAACTGTCAAGATATGGTAGCAGGAGTGGTTCTACATCACCGAACCTCGTGGCGCCAACTGGGCGACCACTCCTGAGTTAAGATCCGGACCCCTAATGCGGCTTGCGTCGTGGATATCAACAAGGTTCTGGACTGGGGGTCGACCGACGAGGTGTTGATGTTGCAAAAGCGCACCAAGAACATTATAGAAAAGAACACCAGCCTCACTTACGTGGTCCAGGTGATGTTATACCGCCGGACCCTTCCTTGCCAGCACCGACCTCTCCATATGTGGGAGTTCAATCCGGAAGGGCCGCAGACTCTGCAGCGATTCTTCAGCACGACGCACGAAGATATTTGGAGGCTGCTTTTCAAGGCCCAGACGTCGTGGCCGGAGACGACCGACGACATCGGCCTCGACTGTGCACACCCAGCCTCCCCGGTAAGTTCTTTTAAACGCCAATAAAGCTGAATACGTCTCAAACTCTCAACGCAACTTGAAAAAAAATTCAATGTGTCTCGCCTCCAGTGGCATTGGTGCCTCCACCCACTTTTCATTGATCCGGAGCTAGGATCACCTTCATTTCAGGAACATGAAGTTGTATTCGGATTTCAAATCCACCAAATAGTTTCTAAACAATATGAAACACTATTAAATAGGACTTGGTTTGAGTAAACTTGACTAAATTCATTTTATGTGAAGTTTTTTGTATCTGTTTTAGTTATCCTAGCTAGTAATCATCCTAGCGCCGCCACCGCCGCCGCCAACTGCACTTCGTTCTCATCGGCACCAGCTATAGTCGCCACCGCCACCTCAACAAGCCCTTCCTCTCCTCCTCAGCCCACTAGGATCCCGCCAAACATCACAGCACCAACACGTCATGGATGAGCCTCGTGCTGCATCTGCTACATTTATTTACCACTATCACATGTTATTAGGGTTACTACTCCCTCCTGTCCTTTTCAGGCCGCATATTAGATTTGTCCGAATTCAAAGTCCTTATGTTTATACAAAAAAAAATAACATTCATAACGCAAAATCAATATCATTATGTCATGGAAAATATTTCTAATATAAGTTTGGTCAAAGTTTACAAAGTTTGACTTCTAAGGTATCTAATATGCAAAGTAAAAAGGATTGGAGGGAGTACTATCGACTTCCTTTTTTGCGAATCACTACTATTTTATGTGTTATGCTGTAGAAAGAACCGAACAATTTCCTGCTCAAAGTGATGAGGTATGAAACTGAAAATCTTCCCTCTATTTTGAGAAACTCCCATTTGTGTTATGTATGAGTTTGGGTTTTTATTAAAATAAAATACATCTCAAGAGCCCAGCCCAGGAATCCGGCAGACCTAGTTGGAGACGAGTCCGGGTTCAGTGCCAATAAGAGAGGCATAGCAAGTTCGAAAGCGCGACAACTATGTGTCACCCGTATTGATTCTTAGTCTAGTTTATGGTTACCTCATTTATTTATTTTTTCTTTCTATCTTTTTACTTTGGTTTTTCTTTTCTCAATGGTTTTATTTTTTTATTTTTTTCATTCTATTTATTTTTTGTTTGTTTCTTTTTTTGTTGTTTTTTTGTTTCTCCGTGGTTTTTAACATTTTAGTGGTTTTCATTTTTTGAATTTATGTCTACTTTCTTTGGTCTAAAATGTACTTTTTGGAGCACATGTGAACATTTTTATTATACACTTTGGCATTTTTCAAGTATATGATGTACAATTTTTTTTAAATGCATGGTTTTGACACTTTTCAAATACACAGTAACATTTTGTAGTCACACGTTGGAAATATTTTTAATGGCTTGAAGCATTTTTTAATGAACATGAAAAGTTTTCTACATTGAATAAACATTGTTAATGGCTTGAGGCAAGAATAATCCACCAGAAGACTGTGTGCGTACATGCACCGCGTGGCCGAAAGATTAATCACGCCTAACGAATGAAACATCACCAAAGGCCAATACCGGAGTACTGAAGTACTCTACAATATGTTTGATCGTTGTTTCACTGTACCCATTTCAAAAGAAAACAAAACGGAGCTTCTTACACGCTACAATCCAGCAGAAGTTTCAGCAAAGTGATTCCCCAAGGGACTTTATTACTCAAAGAACACAATACACCCGCACACCGGCTCATGCATACATGGACAAATTATCACTGAAAACAGGAGATCTTTAACCATCTTATTTTTATTTTATTTGGAACAACACTCAAATTAAGCCACATATATATGGCTCAAATGAACGAAACCTCTTGACCAGCTAGGCAATATATACGCCAATTGCATTTCGGTATTTGTCATCAGTACGCCCGAAGAAGCCAACAATTGCTTTGTCATCAGGTGCAACGGCGCTGAAAGGAGTACCAAGTTCTTTATTATAGTCAAGATTCCCGTAAGGTCCGTAGGTTTTCTTGTTTGTGACAAACTTGAGTGTCTGCACAACATCGACTTTAGTCCCCACGTAAGTATCATGTTTAATAACCGTTCCAGACACTGCTGTCACAATTTCCCCCGGGCCCAACATGATCTGCACATCAGTAAATGGAATAATCACTGAGGGCATGTACAATGATTGATAAGACAGTCTTATCTTAAATTTTGCATCTAATTTAGAGATGACAAAAAAATATGTCTACAATGGGTCATTTCTTAGCCTTATCTTTAATAAGTAGTTATTCTTAAAAATATGCTGAGACATATTGTGCTAACAGATCATCTCTTGTCTTCTCTTAAATAAGAGAAGGCAAGTCTTTTCTTGTGATTTCTCTTTCTTCCACCTCACCATTTACCCTACGTGGCATTGCTAAGATAGAACCATTGTACATGCCCTTAGTAATCTTATGATTTTTGCAAGTTCCTAATTGAGCGACTACTACAAAACAATAATCTACACAAATATACCACTACCTTAATCCTTTTTATATGGTGTATGGATTCTTTTTTTTAAGTCCAACATTTCAACCTCCGACTAAGATTAAGTAAAACTACCAAAATATACAATACGAAATAAATAAAATATTTTAAAATAATTCATGATGGATCGAATGATACTAATTTGACAATTAATACATCTTATAAACATTAAATAAATTAAAGAATTTACATGACAGAAAAGTTTGACTTAAGAAAAACATGAATACACCTTATAAAAAATAATGGATGGAGTAGATAGTCAGGCCATGCATGCAAAGTAAATTAGGGCCAGTACTTTTGGTGCCTTCTAGAATAATCTGAAACAAGCTGCCCCTACCCAGCTTATTTTAGAAGCCCAACCAAAATTTTCTTTTTAGAAGCCTACTAG